TTGAGTTTTAAGTAATATGCATTAATAAACAGTATTTTACGTATAAAAAATAGTTTTTAAGAGTTTTTGTCAAATGTTTTATAATATAGTATAAATTTTTTTTAATTTAATTTATTTTAATAATGAAATAATTTATTTTTGGTTTAATAATATAACATTTTATAAAGATAATAATTAAGTATTTTGTTAGAACTCAATGATTATCCTAATTATATTTTAGATTTTTTATATTTAAAATGAGATGTTTATCCTGTATTTAATTGTGTTTATCTGCAGTTAGTTACACGAATTCAGTTATGGGATGAAATCGGATAGGGATGAACGGGTTTAAAAGTTTTAAGAGTTTTTAAGAGTTTTTTTTTTTTTTGTCAAATATATTATAATATAATATAGATATAGATATAGATTTGTACGATTTAAAATTAACTATATTTAATGTAATTTAAAATTTAGAAAAAACAAGATAAATGTATGAAGTTTATCTTTTTGTTTCTCTAATCCAAACATTAAAGTCTAGTGAAGTATTTGATTTGGTCAAAAAAAATAAATGGTAGTTAATGTGTAGTAAATTGCTTTTAATTTTTTTTATAAAATTCTTTATTTGGATAACTTTGACTTTTACATATATTTGAACAAAAAGTTGATTATTAACAATTATTAGTTGTGTACCCGCAAAATACGACGGGAGTCATAAATTTTAACGATTTTAAAGTTTCACTGGTTTTATTAGATACGATTTAACGATGATATAAGTTACGTTTGGTCTTTACATATCAATACAATCTGGATAAATAAGAGTTATGATTCCAATTACAGTCTATCGATGAAAAAAATCGTATGTCAGTTTAAAATTCAATATATTTAAAATCCAACATATTTAAACAACTCCACAAATGTGTTCAATTTACACAAAGAGTAAAGAATCAATAGATCGAGAACGAGACCGAGAGTTCTAGAACAATTGAATGATAGATGAATTGAAAAACTTTAACTCATGGGGAATATTTGTTTGAATCTCACCTTAGGGATGGAGAGAGGACATAAATGTATGAGAGGGTGAAGACATGAGTAAAAAGTATCTTGGAAACATGAAAAAAAAAAGACAATAATGTGCAATGGTAACTTGTATTATATGTTATTTTAATTGTAGATTAATAGATTTTAAGACTGAATACATAAAATAGTAATACTTAATGCATTATGAGTTGTTTTTACGACTTAATGCATTATGAGTTGTTTTTAAGACTTTATGCATAAATGTATAGTACTTTGTGTATTAAAAATTGTTTTTTAAAACTTTTGATAAATATGATTTATAAGGTAGTATAGATATTGTGGGAAAAAAAATAAATACTTTTTACAGTCAAATTGTACCACCATTTGAAATTTTAAAAATTGGAACTTGAAACCCTTTGAATTTCCAGTGCAAAATCCGACGACAGGTGAAGTGGGTTTTTGGTGCCGATCAACGTAGTTTTATTCTAGGGTGTCCTTGGCGGGCAAGTACTTTATCTAGAAAACACTAATGTATTCTTTATTATTCATCTTCCACTGCCTTTTTTTTTATAATTATTTTATCTGTTTGAGTTCTATTTTTGTATTAAAATATAGTATATTTCTTATTATTAAGTAAACAAACTCCTACCTCTTGTAAAAAAAATTAACAACCCTATGACTTTTTCTTTTGTAAAAAATTATAGGTTACCAGTTTATCTCTTAGCGATTTCTCTCTCAAAATTACATCACTACCTTGGCATGATAAGTCTTGAATTTAATCAAAGTGTTGTGTAAGGACCAAATTTGTAAATTAGTCCCAACACCTATATCTAGTTTGCAAATTTGGTCCTTGCATTTGATGTTTCAGAAACATCATTTTTTTTACACTTTAATCCCTCCAAAAAATATGGAACTGACACTTGCAGATGTAATGACATTTTGATGATCTTAAAGAATAGAAATGACTATTAGGTGAAACCAAAACGGGTATTTTAATAAATTTCTATTGGTTTTATTGTATGCATGACTTTTCCTCCTTATCGTCAATTCCACCCCACTTGTGTAAGACTATACGTACCCAGGTCTATGGCATTATCTAAATCAACACTTCCATCCTTCTCCAACATGTACGCGGTTCACACACACACAGCTAAACTGGAATTTTTCCTCCTCCTTCTTCTTCTTCTATATACATATATATATATATATATATATGTATGTATATAGTTAATTTAAGTGTGTATCTCTTTCTTGATTTCAATTTTAATAGAAAATGGAAGTGGGGCCTGTGTATACTCTTCCCGTTGGCTATCGGTTTCGTCCCACCGACGAAGAACTCATCAATCATTTCCTACGGTTGAAGATCAACGGTTACCATAAAGAAGTGGATTATATCCAAGAAGTTGATATTTGTAAGACCGAGCCTTGGGACTTGCCGGGTACCTTCTTTTCTTTTCTTTCTATTTCTTGAGTTACACGCAACAAACTTCATTGAAGCCGATGCGAGCTTGAATCGAATGCACAACTCTAATATAATTGAATTGGGATCTTGTTATTTGTGTCTAATAATCAGCTAAACAGTGTGTTTTTGAACTAAACTGCATGTAGGTTTGTCGCAGATCGAGTCCATCGATGACGAATGGTTCTTTTTTAACCGCAAAGATCACAAGAACGGTCACCGATCAGCTCGTGCTACCAAGTGTGGGTACTGGAAGCCCACCGGAAGAGATAGGACCATCAAGACTAGCAAAGGGTTTCTTGAGATTGGAAAGAAGAAGACGCTCGTTTTCCATACTGGGCGATCCCCAAAAGGGGTGAGGACTCGTTGGGTGATTCACGAGTACGTTCCTACGCTAAACGAACTCGATGGAACCGCTCCTGGACAGGTGCATAAATGCTACTTCTTCCAATTTGAAACATATATTTAAATTTCTTGAGTAGGATGTTTGATGCAGTTTGATGGTTTTGTTGTTGTAGACTCCTTTCGTGCTTTGTCGTTTATTTAAAAAGCATGACGGGAAGGATAAAAATCCCGAGAGTGCTGCTCCTCCTCCTCTGCCGCCACCACCACCGCCACCGCCACCGCCTTCTACCACGGAGGATGGCATTGATATTAGAGGTGTTGAATGGGTATGTGCATGAAATTACACCTTTTAGTGAAATCGTCTATCCACAATCGTGTAAGCTAATTAGAAGCCGCGATTGCTGGATAGCATCAGATGGCTGGGTTCAAGGGATCTAAGTTCCATTTAGAAGCCTCTGAGTTGTGTTCAAAGGCTTTTGGTTCTGAAGTGGCTTTCCTTCGACTCTGAAGCCTTCTGATCCGTTTAACCGCCCACTAATTACTCCAGAAATCATTTCCATTTAATTATGGGGTGATTTTTTCCGCATTATTTTAGGAACAATAACAAATCTCTAAATTTAAAAGTGAAGTATTCAAAAGCAACATTGATCTTCCAAAAGATATAATGGTATGTAAAATCGTTATAAATTGGCAAAGGGTGGAGCGAGTTTGCTCAAATGATAATAGGTTCAAGTTTGAACTTGAACCCCTCTACTAGTCTTAGCCGTTGAATCAGCATGTGGTTCTTAGAGGATGGGTCCCTTATCAGCTTGTCGGATGTCGGAAGTGCTGGTAATCTAACATTTTGCTCAAATAAGGTTTCTTTAATATTCTGAATTTGTATTTTACAGGATTTTCCGGAGGTAGAAAGGGCTCTAGATGATCTCTGGGATCCTTCATCAGAGCATGGACTAGTCGTAAACAAACAGCAAGAACCGTCGACTTTTATAAGAGTCGGCAATTATTCAGTGCAGAATAAGTACAATGGCAAAGTCATCCTCAACTTAGACGAGAAGCTTAGCCCGACTGCTAGTGATGTTGCATCAACGATGAACTGGGATTCTGATGAAGTTTACAACGCAGAGATTATTGCTCGGGAGCCGTTGTTGTCGTGGAAAGCTATAGAGATTGGTGGTGAGGAGTCGTTGTTGTTGAGAGGTATGCGTAAGGTGTTGGGGTGTCTAGGATTATGGAAATGCTTCAACTTTTGAAGGCAAGACGTACGGATGGATCAAGGAGGTTTCATTTTTGGCATTAGGGATGTTAGATTTTGTTGGTCACGTGACAATTTCGTAATTTACCATCCTCTTTAAACAATGCATTAAGTGTATAAGTGTTATAATTAAGTTTAGCATAAATCGTCAAAAAATAAGTCAATACCAATCCTTAATGTTAAATGTTTTATGAGGAAATTTCTTCGTTACATANTATATATATATTATTTTATAATATAATTAATGTTTTAATTTTTAAAATACAAAATCTAATTTTTTTTAAGAGATGGAAAATCAAAAGTCAAAGTTTCTAATGAAAAATTACATTTCATCTCTAACAGCTTCTATATTTTAGAGATCATTAAAATATTCAATATAATAAATATAATATGATATTATTTTTATTTCATACACATTTAATTTCAAGATTTTTTATTGATAAGAAGAATAAAAGTTCATTTCCCTTTTCTAAGTAATCATTTTTTGGGAATTCTTCAAATTTAGAGAATTTCACGGCCTCTCTCCAAAATCTATTACAAAATCTTTAAAAGCATCAACATTCAAATTTCAATACCCTTTCAAATAGAATTGCAAATGGTCACATTCGCTCTTGTTGTTGCAATGCCATGTAGACATCGGTAAACCTTTTTATTGTATAAAACAATTATTAATTGACTAGTAGTGTACCCGCGCAATGCGGCGGGATGTGAAATTTTGAAAAGATGTAAACGGACATATAGATTACGGATAAAAACTATTAGACCATTTTGTTCTATCAGGATATATATTTGAAAAGATTTAAAAGGTTATATCAGGATATATATTCAACTTCCCGCGCAATGCGTCATGATGTAAATGTTCTATCAGGATATATATTCAATTTTTAAATATCATTTTATATTGCAAAATATCTTTGAAATAGTTGCTGGTTCATATCTGTATCAAAATCTGAAAATGACAAATTAATGCAATTTCACATTCAGAAAGTCTAAAATTTATGTTTAAAAAAATAGAAATTAGAATCATGTTTTTATCATACACAATCATCATTCAAAACTTCTTGATACACCACATTTGATGTGTAGACTCCTTCCTGGTTGAACTTTTTGGCAGGTTTCACTAATACCTTCGTATTACCACGTGATATCCCTCTTGACAATGCCACGTAAAGTTGGCCGTGCGAGAATACCGATTCCGGTAGATAAACACCTACCACCGGAATTGTCTGTCCTTGAGCTTTATTGATTGTCATGGCAAAACAAAGTCGAACAGGAAATTGTTTTCTCTTTAATTTAAAGGGAAACATATCATCTTCAGACGGACATAGAGGAATTCTTGGTAAAAATACTCTCTTACCAGCATGTTGACCAACAGCTATTTCTGCATCGATAGCATTCTGCTGAAAACCTCTACATATCAACCTCGTGCCGTTACACAATCCATTTGAGGGGTCGATATTCCGCAATAGTATTATCGGACATCCAATTTTAAGCCGGAGGTAATGAGGGGGCAAACCGCTAACAGTCAAWGAGTTTAAGAACTCCATCGGATATAAGTTATTCTTGTCATCTTCTGCTTCATCAAAACTGTAGTAAATTTTTTCCTCTCCACAAAATCTTTCAATCAACTGATCATTAATCTCGTCGACATGCTCATTTTTTGTTGTTAGTATCGCCCTCGAAATGATATAATTTGAAGCAGTCTCGCAGGTTTGAAGAGAAGGAAAGATTGCATCAATCAAAGCATCCTTCGATTCATTTTTATTTGTGTAAGGAATGGCCATGTCATCAGGTATGCGAATAAAGTTTCCGTCTACTGATTCTTCATCTCCATCACCGACACGTAACAGAAAATCCGAAAACCATGGATCAGTAAGTGCTCTCATATTGATCGTTAACCGCAACTTTTTAATCGAAGACCAAATAGGTGACATCCGTAAGCTTGAGTCTACGATCTGTGCTCGAGTGCCATGTCTCATTACTGGCAATACCTGTCTAAAATCACCTCCCATAATCATTATTTTCCCACCAAATGGAAGTCTCACCCCAGTGATGTCTTGCATTGTTCTATCGAGTGCCTCTACTGCCTGCCTCTTTGCCATTGATGCTTCATCCCAGATGATTATTTTTGCGACTCGAAGCAGTTGAGCAGTTCCGCTTTGTTTTTTTATATTGCACACCGAATTATTACTAAGAGTAAGGGGAATCTTGAATCGAGAGTGAGCTGTTCTCCCCCCTGGCATGTTATTAGCGGCAGCACCGGATGAAGCGGTTGCAAGAGCAATAAGTCCACGGGAACGAACATTAGCTAGCAAAGCTCTATACAAAAATGTTTTCCCAGTTCCACCCGGTCCATCTACAAAAAACACAGCTGGACAATCATTATCTACATGCATCATGATCTCATCAAATGCATGTTTCTGGTCGGAATTTAGAGAGTTTCGAGCATTTAAGTCTTCGTCTTCCACAATTATGGAGTACTCCTCTTGTACCTCACGAAATCCTCGTGATTCTAAATTGACAGCTGCATTTAAACTTGGAAGATCAAAATCATCGAGGTTCTTACCCATAGATTGTAAAAAGACGGCGATGTCTGTAAGAACCATATTTCGGACCCCCTCAACATTTTCGTAGTCTCGTCTATAATCTTCAGAGAGTGAATCATAATGTTCATCCCATAACTYGCGAACATCTCCCGGCTCACAATAAATCAAGATCGTCGCGAATAATCGTCTAAGAGCATTGGGAAACTGAAATAAGGAGGCATCGGCAAGACAATGCGATAAATTATCGTCGGTCTCTATTAAACCTCTCTCAAGTGCTGCTTTGCGAAATGTTGGATGTATAATGCCATTRACCGTGTAAAGATCTTCAAAGCACGTGGGCCCACTAATATGAGACAGAAGTAGTCGTAGATAATATCGTTCCCCTTCGGCAGGATTAGCATGAACCAGTCGTCCTCTCATTGATCCTTGTTTTCGAGGATTCCATTTACGTGAACTGGCATTCCATGTGTAATGTTTCGGAAAATCTTTGTATAAATATTGTCTCGCACTCATATCTGTTTTATTCCTCTCAAAAAATGCGGTCAACATTGAGCTCTTGTCTCTCTCTCTATCAACGATATCTGTCATTATATCATT